TGAGTATTTAATTATTTGATGACTATTGTAACATGCAAAGACTTTTTTTCTCTCATTTCAAATCTTTTTGGTATCTAGGAATCAACTGTCCTTGAAAAACTTTTGCATTATCTTATTAATCGAATCTACTTGGCTCGTTCGGAATGGAAGAGCCAAAGTCAAGTCTTTTGAGTATTTATCTTTGGGTTAATCTCATTTTGCATTCCGAAAGATTGTTCGAATCTTAATTTGTACCTTCAAAGATCAAAAATCTCAATTTACACCCTCAAAGATAGAAATTTATATCAATGTGCACCCCCAAAGATAAAAAATCTCAATTTATACCCTAAAAGATAGAAATTTGTATCAATGTGCATCTAAAATTAAATTGATAAATTATACTTAAATCCTCTCATATTTATCACTTAATCATTTAGACCTCTTCACATTTAGAATATTACTCCTACATCTTATGACATTTGTGCACGTATAACACGTAACTCATTTTCATTGATATTTATTAATATAACCGTTAAAAAATATAATTTTATCTTAATAAAAAATTATAATTTCATATTACCCTTTATTTTATAGGTTCAATATACTATAAAGTTCAAAATCTAGTTTACCATTTGAATGTCTAATAAAATATAAATATTTATATAATATTTTACATATTACCTTTTATATAAATATCTACATTTTATTAGACATTCAAATGGTAAGCTTGATTTTTAACTTTAGAGTATATCGAATCCACAAAATAAAAAGTAATATAAAATTATAATTTTATATTAGGATAAAATCATATTTTTTAACGATTATATTAATATATATCAACGAAAAGTGAAAGAATATTCTAAATGTGAAGGAGTTCAAATGATTAAGTGATAAACATGAGGGGATCAAGGTATAATTTATTAATTTAATTTTAGGTGCACATTGATATAAATTTCTATCTTTGAGGGTGCAAATTGAGATTTTTGATCTTTGGGGATGTACATTGATACAAATTTCTATCTTTGAGGGTGCAAATTGAGATTTTTGATCTTTGGGGGTGCACATTGATATAAATTTCTATTTTTGAGGGTGTAAATTGAGATTTTTAATTTTTAAGGGTGTAAATTAAGATTCAAAGAATCTTTCGAGATACAAAATGAGATTAACCTTTTATCTTTCTTTTACCTACCCTAGAATGTCTTCCATCAGCTTTCCATTTCTGTCTTCTTATACTTTATTTGGAGCTACCACCAAATCAGCCGGAAGATCACGCAGTTGACAGAATTCCTTGTTAATAGATGACACCTTTATCTTTAAAAAAAATAGATATCATATAAAAAAATAATCTTTAATCATTGATCTTAAGTTGAATTATTTATAACTATTAATAATTGAAACAATAAAATATTAAAAACTTCGTGAATACCATTTTTTGATTAGATGAAGAAAAAGAAAAGAAAGATATCATACCAAAAAATTATTTTTCAATAACAAAATGTAACCCTTTGAATAAAACTTAACCTTCTAAGACTTCTTTTATTTTTGGTTTAACGGTTAGAGTGTACAGATCAGTTTTACGCACCTCAACTAATTTTTTCTCTAGTCAAATTGAAGACATGTCATCTACGTTGGAATTAATGTATTTATGAGGAATAATTTTCTCATGATTTGACTGCAAGGAGTTACTAAAATTCGAACTCATTACGTCTAAATTTAGAGTAATTCATATATGGTACCTTCGTGAGACTTCTTCTGTGTCTGTCAATTACCAATCGACTAGACTAAAGTCAAATTCACGTTTGTTGACTTTCTTAAAATAGCTCTCACTTTCACAACCACTGCAATTATGATCAAAGATTTACACTTGCCTAGAAGTCTCACCTTTGAAATATAAGCCAAAAAACAATGTCAATGGTTTTAGTCACACAAGGAACTTCTTTCTTTGGAAACGGGTAAAACAGTGTACATGTATTGGATAAGTATTTCGATACCTTGCAAAAAACCTAGCATAATAATAAGGGTGTTTAGTGAGGCGCTCGTGTGGTCTTCGGGGCGTGTTTTGAATATCTTTGTTTTTCTTAGAGATAAAACTCATATACCTTAAAGAACTAACCCACCTAGCTAGAGATAGGTTGAAAGGTTGGGCTATCTAATAATAAGAACATTGCAACACCAATGCACTGCAGATATTTCCATAAAAATAAGCTATTTGAAGCAATTGCGTGCTGAAGATAAGCTCTTTCTCAGCAGCAGTGTTGAAAAAAAAGAAAAACGAAAAGTTACCGGATTTAGAAGGATGACAAATACTCATTCTTCCAAGCAATATATCAGGGGTTCAAATTTAAGAATTAATCTCCCTAAAATAGGGGTCGTACTCCCTATTACTTCTCCCCTTCAAATAAGCAAGACATGTACTAAGTGCGATATTTCTTTTGAAAAAAATTACAAGTTCTAACGAGATTTTTATTTTTTGGGAAAGTAATCCAAATAAGAAAAAAGATATTCAAATTATCTCATTGTGGCTTTGGTCATCAGTGTTTTGAGTTGTAAAAATAACTTCTTTGCATATTTCATACATCTGACTTTTTCAAATCTTGGAGCAAGAGCGGGCCAAGGTCAAGCGGGGCCCTTGGCAAAATTTTCATATGAGACCCTATTAATATTTTGTCTATTGTTATATTTTATTTTTTAATTATTATAATTTTTTTATGTTTTAAAAAATTATTTTTTATTTTTTTAAAAATTTAAAATATTGATCAAGTTTTTATACTCAAGTTTTGGCAATAATTTTTTTAATAAATAATATTGTTAATTCATTCACTCTTAGTTGATTGTAAATAAAATTTCACCAATTTAAATTTTTAACAAATAATTTTATAATAAAATATGTGAACAAAGAATAATTTTAAGATAATAAAGAATCATTATTTACCCATGAGTAATGTACACGCATGAAGTACTAAACTTTAATAACATAGATAATTTAAGTATAAATTATTTGGATTGAAAATTTATATTAAAAAAAAAGGAACCAATTTGAATCATATCTAAAATACAAAAAATAAAAATAAAAATGACTATTATACTAAAGTGGTAAATTTTATGGAAGCCTCTAAAATTTGGGTTTAACCAAGTAGAGAGTAATTTTGGACCTAATAAAATTAGGGGTTTTTTAGGTGTGAGTATAATTTTTTAAACTTATTTGAGCAAAAGTGTATGGATAAGTTGTTTATTTTATTAAGTACAATTTTTATAAAATTTTTTGTGTTTAGGTACAAAATTTAAAATGAATTAAAATTTTTTTTACCTAAACACCCTTCCTTAATTTATGCAGTCATCATTAACAGTTATTTGAGGAAACAAATATGTAAAGATTAACAATAGTAATGGGAGGTAAAATAAGAGTTTACAAAGAGCAAGAGAGAGCAAAAATAGGGGTATTTCGTGCTAGAAGATGAAGATGAAGGAGTATGGGTGTAAAGTACAAGTGAAATACAATATATAGGTCAATTTGTTTAATTTATACTATATATATATATATACTAGTCATAACTCGTGTATGAATACACGATAAAATATAATATTTGAGAGTCCAAATAATCGATTCTATTATATTAATTTTTTTTTAAATATATTAACTGCAAATTAATCAAATATTAAATAATTAAATATATGATAAAAATGAGTGATGCGATATTTTTAGAGAAGAAATATATAAATGATTAAACATATGATAGAAATAAGTGATGCGATTTGACGGTTGAGTCTGACAAAAGGATGATGGGTGAGGTAAGTGATTGATAATGGTTTTGAGAGGAAAAATATGACTGAGACAAAATTCAAACACACTCATATTTTATTATATATATATATATATATGAAATACTATAAAGTTTTTTACTATGATGATTGATCAAACCCTGAATTTTTCCCAAAAAAAAAAAGAAAGAGAATCGGCTAAGATGTTTTGTTAAATATTATGTATTGTTCATTGTTTAGATATAGGGAAAAAAGAACTTATTTGTTTTTTTTAATGAGTGTAACTGTTTTTAATGGGTGTAACTATTTTTTAATGGATGCAACTGTTTTTTAATGAGTGTAATTTTTTTTTAATAGTTGTAATTGTTTTTTAATTGATGTAACTATTATTTTAATTGGTGTAACTGTTTTTTAATATGTGTAACTATTTTTTAATGGGTATAACAATCAGAGTCTCATGCAATTGTTAATGCATGATGGTGTAACGATGTTGTGATACTAAATGATGCAACTATTAATTTATGTAAACAATTGAATGACAAATTGGATTGATGTCATAATTTTGTTTAATTGTTTTGTGTAAATGTTTGATTTATTGGAATACATGAGTAACTGTTTGGTGTATTATATGACAATTGTAACTAATTAATATAACTGATTAGTATAATTGTGTTGTTGTAATATTAATATAAATAGAGGGAGAGAGAGAAACTGTTAGAGAAAAAATGTCCCTATTTTACCTTCTATTATTTGATTGTAGCCAAAAAAAACATAAGAAATATAAAAAAAATTTCATTCATATGCTGTTTACCGATGACAATAGTGGCATTTTTAAAAAAATATGTATTTTACCCCAAATAAATTTTTGACTTATACTTTTATCCAAATAAGGCTAAAAAAATGTAACGGTCCAAATTCCCTTAAAATTAGATATTGATTTGAACTAATAAAATTTGAGCCCTAAAAATTTTAATCACATCTAAAATATAAAATAAAATAGAAAAAATTAATAAAATAAAAAAAAATTAAGTTTATTATACTAAAGGAATAAATGTTGTGAAGCTCTATAAAATTTGGAACCCCAGACAAACAACTTAGATGTCTAATGGTTAGGCCGGACACGTCTTGAAGTGGCGTGAGAGTGTATTTTTAGTTTTCTTTTTTCATTCTATTTCTATAAATTTCAAAGTGCCTTGAAAGATTGATCCATGCTTCCAATATTCTTGTAAAACATTCGGTTACTGATGCGTTTCCTCAAAGAGATGAGTTTCACAAACACCAAGCCATGGCTCTATCTCTTACTTCTACTTCTTTTCATTCTATCCTTCAGAACTCAAAAATCCAAAGGATTGGATACACTCGCCGTCGGTCAGTCTCTCTCCGGCAATCAAACGTTAACCTCACAAGGTGGAACATTTGAACTCGGCTTCTTCACTCCAGGTAACTCGAAAAACTATTACATTGGCATATGGTACAAAGGACTGCCAAATAAAACAGTGGTTTGGGTAGCAAACAGAAACGAACCCTTATCAGACTCTTCTTTGCCAGAACTAAAACTCTTCCAAGATGGAAATTTAGTCTTGCTCAACCAGTTCAAAACTCCGATTTGGTCGACAAATTCGATCTCAAACATAGCCCATTCAACCTCAGCTATGCTCCTTGACAATGGAAACTTTGTCATAAGAGGTTTATCAAATTCCTCTAATGTTATTTTATGGCAAAGTTTGGACTACCCAACCGATTCATGGCTTCCGGGTTGGAAAGTTGGATTCAACAAAATTCGAAATTCGAAATACAGTCTCACTTCCTGGAGGAGCCCAGAAAATCCAGCTCCTAGTCTGTTCTCTTTTGAGCTAGACCCAAGTGGGACTACTTTCATGTTGTTTTGGAATGAGTCTAAAATGTATTGGACTAGTGGGGAATGGACTGGGAAGATTTTTAAGCTTATTCCTGAGATGGAACTGGATATTTATATCAAAAATGTCACACAGGTCTCAAATGAGAATGAGATCTATTTTACTTATGAGGCCAGTTTCAACACAACTCTCCCTAGATATGTGATTGAACCAACTGGACAATTCAGGCCATATTGGGGAAATAACTTCACTCGATTGGGCTTGTATTGGACTCGACCATTGGAGAAGTGTCAGGTTCATGCCTTCTGTGGTGGTTTTAGTACTTGCAGCCAAGATAGGTCAACTGTTTGTGATTGCATGCATGGATTTGAACCAAGAGTCATGAAAAACTGGGAATTGGAAGATCATACAGATGGGTGTGTGAGGAGAACTCGTTTGAATTGCTCTAATGGAGAAAATGATGGATTCTTCATGATTCAAAAGGCACGATTGCCCGTGAATTCAGAATCAGTGGCTGTTGGGAGCATTGAAAATTGCAAAGTAGCTTGCCTGAGTGACTGTTTTTGCACTGCTTATGCTTATGATAATGAGTGTTTGATTTGGAAAGGAGATCTGTATAATCTACAGGAACTCTCATCAGATGATAAAACTGGAAAGGAATTTTATGTTAGACTTGCAGAATCTGAGCTAGAGCCAGTGGTAAATACCGCCAAAAAGAGTGATAAAAAAGCTTGGTTAATTGTAGGGGCAATTGTGGGATTCTTTATTTTCTTTGGCATTGTAATGTTACTAATTTGGATTCAGAGACGAAAAACAGGCACATTTGAGGGAGATGAAGGTTCCTTGGTGGTGTTTCAGTATAGGGATATACGAAGGGCGACGAAGAACTTCTCAGAAAAGCTTGGGGAAGGCGGATTTGGTACAGTTTTTCGGGGGACACTGCCTAATTCTACTGCCATAGCTGTTAAGAGACTTAAAAACCAGGAGCAAGGAGAGAAGCAAGACAAGCAGTTCCTCACAGAAGTGAGCACAATTGGTATGATCCAACATATTAATCTCATTCGTCTTCGGGGCTTTTGCATAAAAGGTATGGAAAGATTTCTGGTCTTTGATTACATGTTAAATGGTTCTCTAGAATCTCACTTGTTTCGGAAGGATTTGAATGTTTTAGACTGGAAAACAAGGTATAAAATTGCACTTGGGACGGCCCGAGGATTAGCTTACCTCCATGAAAAATGTAGGGATTGCATCATACATTGTGATATTAAGCCCGAGAACATATTATTGGATGCTGATTACAACTCCAAAGTGGCTGATTTTGGCCTTGCAAAGCTCATAGGCCGCGAATTTAGCCATGTTTTGACAACTATAAGAGGGACAGTAGGCTATCTTGCACCAGAATGGATTTCTGGTGAAGCCATAACACCGAAAGCTGATGTTTTCAGCTATGGAATGCTTCTTTTTGAGATTATATCAGGTAGGAGAAACCGAGAACTCTTTCATGATGGACCAGACATCTACTTTCCAGTCCGGGTTTTCAATATAATTAATCAAGGTGAAGATATACTGTCCCTTTTGGATCAAAAATTGGAGAGTAATGCTGATGCAGAAGAGCTCAACAGAGCTTGCAGAGTTGCTTGTTGGTGCATTCAATTTGATGAGAGAGATAGGCCAACTATGGGGCAGGTAGTTAAGGTTCTAGAGGGAGTTTTAGAGGTGGGTTTGTGTCCAACCCCTCGTTTCCTCCAAGCACTTGGAGAAAATTCAATACACTACATAATTTGCCAAGAGACTTCTTCTGGTTCAAAGCACATGCATGAAGATGATATTATTAGTACGTTTCAATGCTAAAAGCTCGAACCTTTACAGCATATTGTGTTGTGATTGTATAATAGTCATTGTGTTAGATGTGCAAATAGAGCGAATGGGACGAGTTGAGACATAAACTTGGGTTCAACCCATGCTTTTAGTCAGCAGCAGCTAGTGTTTGTAATTATTTGCGTATGCAAACTGTTCCGTGTATGCAATGTAACATAAGTAATTATCTAATACTCTCCCTTTATATGTGTGAATTCCTCTTAAATGGTTCATCCATGTGATTCCTCCCCCCAAACC